AGTACAGCTACTAAAAATCTCAAAAGATTTTGAAGTCAGGGTCAGGTCAGAGGACAGCATTTCTGAAAAGCACCTAGGTTTTTCACATTTAAACCATAGGTGCATCTTGAGGGGTAGCACTGGCTACCCTTAGAATTTTCTTTTCAGGTGTGGCCTGAATACCTTTCTCAGTTATTAAACACATGTCTTTATGTGTTTGCACTTTCACATGGTAAGCATACAACATTTGAAAAAGCTGTCAGTAGAAAGTGAGGCATTAAAGTTTTATTGGGATTGCAGTCTGCACTCTTGTGCATGCAGATGAGTTTAATGCATGTACTAGTGAGGTTATTGTGTTTGTGTGTCCGTTCATACTGTAAGGTGCTAATTTGGGGTGTTAGTGAGAGCTGGCCAGCCGTTTTGTTCACCGCCTAAACAAATCTATCAAATCCTGCTGGAGCACACTAATTGAATTACACAAATGGGACTTTGGGGGGGGGCACACATGGCAAAGCTGCTACAAAGCAGCGACTGGGGTGGGCAGACCACAGCTTTAGGCACTTTCTGAAATTAATCAACCATGCTGGCTCCTCCTCGCCCTCCTTTTATCCCCTCATCTGTCTTTTTGTTTTTCTATGCCTGTCTGTCTTTTTAACTCTTCCTCCCACCCTTCTTTTATTTTTATGGGGTTTTTAGTCTCTTTTTCTTCACTTCACCTCTCATAAAGGAGAATTTTGTTCCACTCATTTTTCTCTTCTTTTCCACATCTCAGTTTGTGATTTTTTTCCCACCCAGTCTTCATATTCTTTGCCATCAGACCTCGCCTTTTGGTATGTTCTGTGCTTGTTAGCTACAAAAAAGGACAATGAAGTCTGTGAAACATCTGAATGGTCCCTGTCTGTGAATAAGATCGCTCTCTAACCTTGACTTCTAGACAAATCTAGTCTGCTTGTAAGTTTTCGTTCTAAAATTATCAAAATTGTCATAAACTGAATAGGACAGCAAAAGATATCTGCTTTTAACAGTTTCTCAGCAAGAGGGTTTGTCTCTGAATCAAAAACATGTGTTTGTTTGTCTTCTTTGTTATCGCACCTTGGCACCCCAGTCCTCTTCTTCAGGTCAGCCTGCAGCATGTGGCACTTTTAACCAGGGCAGCCGTCACAGCTGGGACGAATGCTCCATTACAGCCTTCTTTATCAAATGAATGAAGGCAGTAAACTTGCAGCAAGACAGTCAGAGTGAGCAGCAGGGGAGGTTGGAGGTTGTGGCTCTTTGTGGTCACTCAGACTTAGAAGATCGATCAACCTGGATAACTGATGTCATTAGGAGACTTAGCCACTTTTTTTCCCCTTAATGCTGACCTTAATATTGTGCCATGCATTAATCACTGAGTAACAGACCGACAGACAGGGTATCTTTTACTGCTCTGACCTAGTAAAACATGAATTATAACTCAGCAGAGGCAGTTTACTAATGATTATTGTAGCTGTTGAGCGGACAGCTGGAGCGCTGATCCATTCCCAGTACAGCTCACGTAGTGTCCTTGAAAAGTCAAGTGTCCTTTTTAAATGTCCTTAAATTAGAGAGCAAAGAAATAAAGTGGTAACCGCACAGTAGTTCTGTATTATGCTGGGCTGGAGTTAAAGTTGCACACTTACAATATCTATTTATTTATCTATTGCTATGAAAAGTGACATCACTCAAATGGTTAATCTGTATTCAGGACAGGACAAAACATTAAAAACAATATTTTTTTCTGTAGTAACTGGAACCGCAGCAGTGATAAACCTGCAAAAACGGATTTTGTAACTGGAGTAAAGTACGGTTTTTGTTTGCAGATAATATATAAAGTAAAAGTACCCGTGGTTTTTGTTCATCCAGACATGATTAGGAGCAGATTAGCACTAACACGAGTATTTTCTTTTCTGAAAAAAACCCTGTGATCTGTGTAGTTACAGCGGTTTTTATTTGTGATAAGGATTAACAGCTGGAGACAAGGAAGCCGTGGCATTAAGACCCCATATAGGATAAATTTAATAAGCATGTGGGCAACACTATAAATTGCTGTCTTTATCAGTAAACACCAAGTGTTTGAACAGACCCGGTGTGTGTTTTTCTTTGTGTTATGTTTGCGAAAGATAATTTTCAGCATTTATTTCATTTCTTGTGCCACTGGCCACTCGCACAACAGGCTGGCAGAGCAGACAGAGTGCATTATGCAAAACACAGAGCGCAGCCATTAAAAAAAACCAAAAACACACAAAAAGAGAAGTGATAGGAACAAAAGGACACGTGGGTCTTGGTTTCTTGTGTGCACACATGCATGCTGCAGCTCCAGATAGGTCATCAAAAACATTTGTTGTCTTAATACCTTAATATTATCTGGCCTTAGACTGCCTGCCTGGTCACTGGTCATTGCAAAAAAGTAATATTATTATTTTTTGCTTCCTCTTTATGTGGTGAGATAATTTAAATGAACTAAATCATTTACAAAAGAGCAAGCCATGGCTCAAGGAAAATGTATAACAAAGCGAACATGAAAAACTGTATTTAGCCCCGATTTTCAAAAGGCAAAGTCACAGAGTCAAATGGGGTTTTTAGTGTTTTCTTCCTAGAATTTTTAAGAAATACATTTTCTCAGTATCATGGGAGGCCTGGAGGCTATCCCAGCTGTCATAGAGCAAGTTATGACAACTTTAAGACAGAAACTAATAAATAGTGTATATTCCCCCTTCTCTGACATTGTCCCTGTACATTTGTTTTCTTTCGCATCCTTTCCTTCATTTGCTTCTCTGCTTTCAAGCATCTTGTGCTTGCCTTTCTCTCCTCCCGAACTTTTTCTCCCATGTTCTGCAACTAGAAAGACTCTTTTGTGTGTTCTTCAGAGCTTCATATTGAAATAATAGCTCGAATGTGTAATGAAGCCAGTAGGGGCTTGGAAACAATAGATAATCCTACCTAGCATGGTGTCTCGGAGCAAATGAAACTCCCCGTCTTCTCTCAAAGTGTATTTTTTCTCTCTTTGCGCTCCCTCTTTGCCAGAAATTTGTGAACAACACCAAATGTGGTTAATAGTTGGCTCTCAGTGCATCATTGAGATATCGGTGGTCGTATTTTGTTTGCTGTCAAATTACACGTGATCGATTGCTGTTTATTTTTTACTAGAGGCAAATGATAAGTAGCCGCCGACAGCACGTGACATAGAACATCACTTGTTATTCAAGCGTGTGGTAACAGTTAACAACCAGGGGCTTCCAGCGATTTTATAATTCAGCGCAGTGAGTGAGGGTGACAAGCCGCTGGCAGAGCTTTCTGGAAGCGTCCACCTGGAGTTGAACTTCACACAGTCCTTACTTTGTGGTCTCCCTTGTGCCGAGGCACTCAGCTTCTGAGCGCATTCCAACCCACCTGCCACCGCGCTGGCATTTGCTGTTCCAAGTGCACATCAAACAAATCCAAATCAGATGCTTGCATAAACCCACGGCGAAGACTGTGCCACCTGCACTCTGCAGGTAGATTTTTTCATTTGGTTCACGAGCTGTGTGCCAGGAACAGTTTCCCCGTGAGGGATGAGGATGATCTGAGTTTTAGATTGAAATGAAGAGATGCTAAAAAGAAAAAATAGAGCGCCATAGATTGTTGTGGCTTCGTGTCTTTATTGTTGTTTTGAAAAGCAAAAACTGACCCAAAAGTATAAAATAGTCATGAGGGAAAGTGAGTTATCTTTATAATTAAGCAGGATCAATGATCTCATTTGTGGCACAGCTGAAGCACCTTATTAGGCCAACGTTCCAGAATAGTAGCCTTGTTCAACACTGTGTTCAATCTACTTTGCTGATGTGATGGAGTAGGTTATGGTATATTACAAAGCATCCAGGGAAGCTGCTGGCATATTGATGCTTCCTGGCTAAACGTTAACGAGCAATGGTGCTGTGTTTGTCAGAGAGGCCTCGGCTGCAATCTGTCTGCTGAGCCAGCCAGAAGCCCTAATGATATCATCAGGAAGTGCCGTCAACAGCGCTCTAATGAGGAATGATCTGACGCCTGTTGTTTCACCTCCCTCCTTTGTCCCTTGCACCTTTTTCTTCAGTGTCGCCAGGCATTTCGGTTTACTGTATTTGCGCATAGTATATAAGAAGCACTGCCGGTGAGAAATAATGTCTGAAAGCAGCTCAAAGGCGTCTGTTTTCGAACGCATAATGATGACAATAAGCGAGAAAAGAATGGGGGTCAAAGAGAGCGGCATGCAAAATAGAGTAAATGTATAAGCGATTAAAAGTCTTACGAATTCAAATAACTGAATAGCAATATTAAAACCTGAATATTAATAATAATAATGCTTTATTGTATGTATTCGTTTGCACGGTTGTTTGAGCATTTGTCACAATTTTGATGAGTAGTTATCACATGATAGCAGATGGGCTGGAACGCTGTGGATGTGTGGACATTTTCTCATAAACTCTCCCCCTGCACCAGCGCACACACACACACACACACACTAACACACACCCACTCTCCTCTGATGAGCGTTATGCAAAGGGTGATTTACTAATCTCATGGGGTTTACAAGACCATCTCAACACCCTTTCTCCATTACCTTTCATCATCCTTACATCATTACTTTGTTGCACTTTCTTTGTAAGCGATCTCACATCTTACACGAGTTGCATAAACCAGCCTACTGTAGCTACAAATCCACTGTGACTGATTCAGTCCACATTTTTATTCATTTATTTCCCCCCTTCTTTTTAATCTGTGGATGGCTGAGTCTGGAGTGGAAGCCAGTTTGTCATGCCAATCTGCATAAGCATTGCGGAGAGAAGCAGATCTTGACAAAGTGGTCCTGAGAAATTCAAGATACCCACCATTAAGAAGATTGTCTGACTTCTTCATGCACCGTCACAGACAGATTGACTAATCATTTCCTCTCCGCTTCCTGTCTCTCTGTCTTTTTCCTTCTTTTTTTTCCCCTGCCTCTTCCCCTCCCCGTCTCGTCTTTGTTCGATGTCGTCGTTTTCCAGGTGCCTTGCAGATCGAGAACAGCGAGGAGACGGACCAGGGGAAGTACGAGTGTGTGGCGTCTAACGTGGAAGGCGTGCGCTACTCGTCCCCTGCTAACCTTTACGTGCGAGGTAGGGAGCAACCCGGTCAAAGAATCAGGCCAAGAAAACAAAACGAAACAGGAAGAATAATAAAGAAATAAAACATCTACCCATTCTAACTAAAATAACTTGACAGTGCAGCTCAGCCATAAACGGCATTACTGTTGAGCTTAACAAATGATAACTGCTTCCATTCTAGCCTAGTTGTATTTGCACCAAATGTATTTTGCAAAATAGTATTACCCAAGTAGTGTCAATATTTTAGCACTGATAGTATTGCCTGCCCGTAAATGTAATTTCATATGCACTGAAACTTCCAGATGTAAAACTATAATTGACCAACTAATGTTCTTCTCTGTTATGATGTTATGCTCCATTTTTTCTTTTAATGCCCTCCCCTACTCACTCGGAAGGAAATGTGTAGCACAACAAGCCGTATGTCTTTACTTTATCGGTTGTAAGACACCTTTTACCTGTAACTGTGTGCCCGATCAAATGTTTCCCGCGCTGTCAAAGTCGGAACCCAAAAAGAGTCCGGAAGGACGTCTTTTTGATTAGTTTTTTACAGGTAAAGGAGCACAACGGTAAGTCTCAGTCTTGATTGCGTGGCGAGGTATTATCGCCCGCCAATCAAAACCTCAACCCCTCAGCCTTCTCTAGATTTGGAGGAGGAGAACTGAGTAGGCTGCTCTGTTTAAAAAGAGAAAAAAAAGATTATAAATAGTATACATCCTCTATTCCTTTGTCATGCTGTTCTGGAGCATAAATCCATAGTATTCCCATGTTTCTTCTTTGGTGTATTATCTATAAAGGCTTTTACAGTCAGTAGTAATTTTGGCTGGAATGTTCGAGCAAAGCGAAGATATAAAAAACGATCAGTCACAGGGAACATAGAGTTTCATAGGAAACAGACAATGAAGACAAAAGCGTACTCTCCACCACTAATGCTAAATGACAATGGATCCCTGTTGAGGGAGCTTTAATAAATTGAAGCAGATGCATTTTCGACATGGTTTATTTATACTGTGCATATTAAATAAAGATGCCTCCGTATCTACTCAGTTTGTTCCCTCTGCTGTGTACCAAATAACTTTGTTCCCAATAAATAATTCACTACTCTGACATTATAAAATGGGTCAGGAAGCTGCTTTTTCATTATTATTGCTATTATCATACCCTGTGAAGTAGCAGCATAGGAAAGGGAAAAATTCCACTGTGAAGAGCTGAAGGTAAAAAAAAAGGGTTCATCAAGATTAGTTTCTGTTCTTGCCAGTGTTTATCCTGGAGGCGCATGCTGTCTCTTCTGTGATGCAGGCAATGTCAAGTAGCTATCCACCTTGCTAATACGTAGCATAGTAGGTGTTAAAAGGGTCATTGAAAATTCTAGTCAAGTACTCTACAGGCATCATTAGATACTGATGAATAATTATGGGAACACTTTGTTGACACAGCACCGGGATGTTCAGCAGCTCCTTTGGTCAAAACATATATATACATAAATATATATATTCCGTGATATCATCTCCAACAATTCATGCAGTCTCCATGAACACTGGCTCCATCAGCATGCCTTTAAAAGAGTACACAAGGGTCATAAATACTTAAGTACTTTCACGCTATGTAACACACTTGTTATGCTTTGATGGTGTCGACCTTTGTCTGTTTTCAGTTAACTTTTGTCAATCGATTCTTGATACTTGATGTTGACTATGTTTTGTTCACAAAGCAAAATGCACTTGAGATTAGCAGCTGCGGTAGGGACCAATTAAGAGCAGGAAATATATACATATATAAAAATCCTAAATTAAGACTGCAACCCGACTGAAGGCCCAACAATGGCGCTTCTGATTGGCTTCCAATGGCATTTTTAGTGGGACTGCCTTAAACTGCAGCTGCTAATTTCATCCCAAACTGTGTCTTTTTTTTTTCTTTTTTTCAATCTCTCATTTGTTTTTTTTTCTCCTTTTTTTGTTTTCTCTTGATTTTGTTTCCTTCTCTAATAAAAGCAAGTACGGCCGCAGCAGGAGCTTCTCCTCGTGGCTATAAGAAGCTTATGAAATTCTGAATTATGAGAATGGAACGCTTGATGTGACTCCAGTGGCGCCTCACTTCCTTTTTTTTTTCTTACCAGGCGACAGTGCGGCCACTGGGGTGAATCTGATTGTTTTGGTTCAAGTTTATTTACGGGGGTGGGGCAGGCAAGTGTACTTTCAAGACGGGTTTCACTGATAGCGGGGAAAGGGAAAAGGAGGGGGAAAAAAAGATGAAAGAAAAGGGAAATGTAGCTGCAGCTAAACACCTTGAGGTGGCTTTTTTTACTCTCTCTGTGTTTCCCCTATTTTTCTCTTCTCCTCATGTCATTGTGTTCTGCATCAACCCCTTTACATCCCTCAGAGCTTCGAGAAGGTTGGTGTGTTTTTTCTTTTTTACTTTTTTTAACCCACGTTAACAAATAATAAATTCAACATGTTGGAAAGAAAAAATTTTAGCTGTATTTGCCTATTTCAGAGCTCAATTGATTACTAATTTGAAGAGATACTAATCAGCTGATCCAAACTGCTAAATGATTATGAAAGAAATTTTGATTTCTTTTCAAAGGAAGAAATGATGAAAGCAAACCCGATTAGCTCGGGTCTTGTTAATTTACTTTTATGTTTGCATTGTGGGGCCTTTTCTCGTTTTGCATCCTTTGGTATTGCTTCTGCATCTAAAGGCTTTCTTGCATGTGCTGAGTGGAAATGCAGCGTGCGGAAATAACAGGACCTGTTGCATGATGGGAGAATGTAACTGCGCTTGCATGCCTCTTCAAAAGCCGTTTGGCCGCAGTGCTCTTTTTGTTTCTGCATTCCTTTTTTTTTTCTTCAGTTCTCTTTCTTTGGTTTTGGTTGTATTTTCCCTAACACATCCCTTTTTTGGCTTACCTTTTTTTTGTTTTTCCCTTTATTTCTTTATTTTTGTGTTGTGATTATAGTGTTGTGTTGTGCGTTTTCCTTTAGTTCCTTATCTATTGGTGACCCTTTTTTCTGTTAAAACATCAGTCTCTTTTTGTGGTTTATTTGTCGATGAGATTTCTTTTTTTCAAAAATGACGCTGCTCTGCTTCTTGGGTCTCGGAGTGCAAATGCAAATGTCGAATGAAATAATAAGTGTGTATACAGCCAGTGTTCCTGTCATCTTGTTTATAGCGATCCATTACTGGAAAAATTAGACCTGATTGGGCCTGATTGGCTTCCATGGTGATTTTAGGCAGCCATTAAGGGATGCCATTTACAGTGTCGTGTGGATCAATAACAATATAATGAGTTCGACATCAAATTTGCTGTTGCTTAGCGGGTGCTCAGAGATACTTTTATTTTCAAATGGCGGCAGCTAGAATGTGATTGGTTTTGTTGAATGACTGCTGTTTGTGTTCCCTCGCAGTCATGACACTCCATCAAATTATAATCTATTATTCAAAAGCCCTCCTTCCCTTGTACACATACGCACACACACTCCCTCTCTTTTCCTCATGGAATATTGATATCCAGGTTGATGAAGCTTCTAAAAAGCGCAAGAAAATGGGCCGTATTTGTACCTTTCATTCGTGTTATTGTCCTGGCACAAAAAGAAGAAAGTGCTAAATGAATTGGAGATCAATGCAAACGTTGTTTTCTGCTTAACTGTAGATTTGATTGGCTTTGTGCAATAATCAGATCTTTACTGAACTCCATGTCACGCGGTTTTGGGAACTATAAACGTGTGGATTTCATAGCTCCGCTAGTCTCGAGAATATTTAAGATAGATCTACTGGGTTTTTAATGGAGCAATGGCTTTATGTTAGAGGTGTTACATGGAGTTAAGAGAGTCTGGGCAGATCAGGAATACCATTCTTTCAACTAGAAGAGATGATGCACATTCTTAGTACCAGTCTCTTTTTGGGGTTTTCATGTGTATCAGTCACCAGGGACTAAACCAACATATCTGAAAGTCATAAAAAGGACTACTACCGCAACAGCAAACTCATTACCAGATTACATGCTTTGTTATCAGTCAGTCCTGAGTGTATATATGATTTTCTCAGGCAACACCATATACCAAATTTATCCAGAAACTTTGTGTTTTATCTGTCTATCTACCAAATAGCCAGATTATTTTAATTAGCCTTTTTTGTTAAGTATAAACTACTACAAGCCCAAATATCAAAAATAACCCCTCAAAGATTTAGAGTTTAGTGGACGTAGGTTTTAATCCCAAGCTACAACACCTATTCCATTCCTCTGAAATGCACAACCCATCCTTTGTCCTTAAGTAAAGTCATAGGACTGATATATGCAATTAGCTCAGCTCTACTAGTTATTATGGACAAAGTGGAGGTTTTCCCTTCCATTACCTCTATTTACCAGTTGGCTGTCAAAGAGACTGTAGCAGTATGGTCTATGAAAGTGTTCACAAAGTATGCTAAAACCACGCAAAAGAAACAGAATAAACCTGGCTGTGTCTATATTAAGTCTGTAGCTCTTACTTGAAGTGCTAAAAATAACAGTGATGCAGAAAGACTGCGCTGTTCTGTACGCATGTGCATGTTTACCCTCCTACGGTGGTATCTGCTTGGTTTTGAATGTGCTTGCATGTCCTGCTATGCATTTGTGTGTACTGTTGGGAAAGAAAGCTAGATTACACCTTACGTTCTCACTGGCCAAAGCAAAAATCCTGCCATCTCTATTAGATGTTTGTCTCAAGGAGTCCCCCGAGATAATACCCACTTTTAAAAAAAAACATGTTGTTTTCAGAAATCTTCATTTTTCAGACAAAGCAAATGTTGTATAACCTCCTTATGCTATGTATACAAACATACTTTCTTTCAAAATCAGAGTAATAACAATCATTGTAGGTATATTTAAAGTGAGGGGACATACTTGCAGTATCATTTGGCTGCTTGTCATCTACTTGTAGGACAATAGAAAAAGAGTGATTTGCTTTGAAATCCCCTCAATCTACTGCTTGCTATTATTAGATACCCCTGCCACGATTCTTGTCAGGTTCCTTTAGGTAATAATTTCCATTCTGATGAGCCACCCATAGTGACTGTTTAGCACTGGCGCAGCCGAGGTATGTTAATACAGACCGACCCCCGTGGCTTATATGTAAATGCCCAAGGCCTCTCCCAGGCAAGTGTGACTAAAGGATCTCTATACTGCACCTGTGTCCTCAGGCAGCAAGAGGGTGTAATCTCAGCTTCAAGGTGACACTAAAGGCTGCACATTATTTTGGCTTCCCCCCTCATTTTGGGGCAGCAAAACCTGCCTCACCAAAATGGCCGATAATGTCCACCTTCTGACCTCTGTTTTTTGGCACAAATCCCTCCACAACACTGCCCACTATTAGAGTTAGTGCAGTACTCTGGCATTCTCTCTCGACTGCTTTTCACCTCGTCCAGTGTAAGGCTTCTTGTCTTTCTCTCCACATTGGGGCTTGAAACAAGATTACATGTTGTTAGTACACTACGTTTGGTTTGTTTTCTCTTAATTCCAAATGGGCCGGCTGGGCTCCTGGTCTCTGTGAATGAGGAGCCTGTCCATGCAATTGGGATTCTTGCTGCTTTTTTTCCTATGTTTCAATACATTTGTGAGGTAGTGTAGGAGAAGGTTTCACACACATGCAGACAGCTTATCTAAGCTTATCATAGCCTTACTCAGAACATTAAGTCGTATCGCACCAGGCCCGTGTCCGGTCAGTAATATCAGTGACCCATTTGCATGTGACATTGACATTTAGATGTAGAATTAATGTTGTGTTTTCCTTAAGATTTAAACATTTTTCTGCAAATCTGGAGTCAGAACTGAAGGGATCTTCAGCTCTTGATCTCCTGTAGTACCTATAGACCAAATTCACTTACCTGTCTTACACACGGTGACGCTGTTGACAGGTAGACTCACCTGCATATCATTTATCAGTAGATTGCCCAGTACCAGGAAGCCTTTAAGCAATGATGTTTTTGCTTATTGGCTCCGTGAATTGAACATTATGTCACACCCCAGCCACAGCCAAAAGTTACCAACATTTGGCAGGTGACTGGTGTTAGATGCCTGACACTATAGGTACTCAAAGGTAAACAAAGACATGTTTATGTGGGGAAACCTCATTCACTCAGCCACTACAGCTCCCGGTCCATTGGCTGACCTGAGCCCCAGGGAGAGAAGCGCTCCCTCAGACACTCTTTGATTGGAAGTTTCCCCCAGATAACCTTGTTTCCCCTATTGAGTTTTCACCATTATTTTGGATTGGAGACCAAAATTCAAGATAAAAAACAAGCAAAACAAACAAAAAAAACATCTAATAGTATTGATGCATACCTATTTGTTGAACACAGCTGCACTCTGGTACTGTCTATGCTGTTCGGACGTAGTTCTTTTTGTGGATTTGTTCAGTTTCATTTGTTTACTTTAATTTGATTTCGTGTGTGTGTGTGTCTGGAACAATGCTATATTTGGGAATGGATGGCATGCTTGGACGGGCTTGGGTGACATTTTTTTTCGATTGTATTGGTTATCTGGTGTCTGCCCAAATGGATGGGGGCGCACCTGTACATGTCACTCATGCCGTAGCCACACCCATGCATGTCCGTGTGAGGAATGGGCTGCCCTTTCACCTTTGTTGTTCAGTTAGGACATTTTTGAAAAATAAACGCAGTTATATATTTTTTCCTTTTATCCAATTCAACATGTTTTTCGAATAATCTACCCCACTGACGTTTTTGAGTCTGTTTGTTTAAAAAACAAAGTGTATCTCAACTGGATCAGGGTAGAACAGGCTTTTATAGAGCCACAGTTGCTTCTAATTAAAAAAAGACTTTTTTTGTTCAATTGTAAAAATTCAGAGATTTGATATTTTTAAGGACAGACCTTTGTGGTCTATTTTTACAGTTGGTAATTTTGTGCTCCACAAGAGAGCTTTTTTTTTCTTTTTCCTTTTTCTCAAAAATCAGTAATTACATTTTTGCCCTCAAGGTTAGGTCTTGTCTTGGCCAGGGTTGTAGAGTTGTGGCCGGTCACAATAAACTATTGTTAGGATGTACACAGAATATCTAAGATGACAGAAAACACAACACGGGATGCAGAAGGTTCATAGTCTGCAACTGGAAGGACTGTCCATGAGAGACTGTCCATTGTTACATGAGAGCAAGACGCATTGGTTTCTAAGACTGAATATGTAACGGCTGCTACATGTTAGAGATCATGTAAGCTCCCAGGTAAAAATCCCCATAGAGTGTGTGTAGGTGATATTTGTGCCTTACTTTGTTGGAAAAGTTCAACTGTCTCATGCAACGATCATATGAATCCCATTTGGATCGACACGGTGTGCTTTTGGAATGCTACCTATCCTTGACGCCACTCTCAGTCTCCCCCCTCCCAAATCTCCCCCTCAGTCTCTGCGTACCACCTCCACACACATCACACCTACCCATCCCAAGACTTCCGAAGTCACATTTGCATTGTTGTGCAAAGTTTAAGGTGGGGAGAGGGGGACGTGAAGTTGAGTCTTGATTTTAAGCCCCAGTGTGTGAGACTTCTGAACCCACTTTCAGTCATTATTTTTCTTTTTTTTTTCTTTTTCCAGAATCACAGTTTACTTATTCTATCCCCACTTATATCCTCCTCCTCCTTCCCCCTTTCTCCAAGAACCCCAAACCCCCCCTCTTCCCCTTTGCGTATTGTATAATTTGTCTGCGTGCCCATACTCTGCGCCACTGTATGTCTGCCCGTCTCCCTCTGTCTGTCTTGTCTACTGTCTTGCTGCTTGGGTCTGTTTGGTTCTGCCTTGTGTTTGTCTCTCGTCCCTGTCTTTTCCGTCTTGTCTATCTCTGAAGTCATCTCTTCCATTTAGTTCATAATTTTTTTCCTTCTATGCCTTTTTTTTACTTTCCTTCTGTCTCTTTAACCTCTTCATCCCAACAGACATCTTGACTTAGATGTAGATATTGTTAACGTTCATACATAGAAATTATAGAACCCTGTAACAGTCTGTGCCTTTTTTTGTTTAAATTAAACCAACGTTTTTGTTCAGATAAATACAAAGGAATTGTGCATGCTATAATTAGAGCAGTGCTCCAGCTATTGTCACCCACCCTAGATTAAGATAGGAAAGGAAAACCCAACATTTTATCAGTTTACAACTTGTGCTAATTTGTGTTAGCATTAAGCTAGCCATCCTCTTGCATGTTACTATCTCCTATCAAGTGTTTGCTGGGATGCCTCTCATAAACATGGTGTCTTTTGCTAAATCATGCTCTTTCACGCTCCAACTTTTGCATACTCTGCACAATCATTCCTATACCAATGCAAAAAACAAACAAAAAAACTGCACACATACTATATCTATATATACACATGTAAGTACACAGTACCGTTTACACCTTTCCGTGCACTTTAGGCTCATTATCAACCTCCTTCCACTCAGATCTCCAGTCCTATCCATGAGTTTTGAGGTTCTCCCTGTTTTTCTCTCTTAGCTTTCATTCTGTCCTAATTCAGTTACCTCTGTTTCTCCTTTTACCTCTTCTCTGTCTTATCCCCTGGATTTCTGCTCCCTGTTGATCCAGTTCTGTTTCCTTTCTTCAACACTCTGTGATAGTAGACTCTCTGGCTACAATTACTATAATTCTTTTTCTGTGTATTTCTAGGCACACAACTTGTTCCTCAATACTTATTTTGTGTTAACTGGGACTGCGATGTGACAATGTGCCACCATCACATTTTGTCACATTAGCTAAAGAGAAACAAAGTTTACACAGCACTGAAGCGGGTTACTCCCTTCCCCCCCTTTTACCCTCCTCCAACCTTCCCTCTATTTTTCTTCCTCTGTCACTCTTTGCTACTCTGTTGCCTTTCTTTCTATACTTCCCTCGGATGTCAAATCCTCTATCTTGTACTTCTACTTTCCTCTCCAATCGTCTTTTGTCTGGGCATGCTAGCGACCCTTCAGTTATATTCCTCTATGCATTTTATCTCAATTTTTATATCTGATTTTGTTATCATTTACTCCTTAATTTACCTCGATCTATTTATGCATGCTGTCTGTGAAACTGATAGCTGCATCTATCAATGGAACCGTGTCAGATCTTAATAAGGCTTTGTCCAGTGGATCTACCCTAAACCACAAAAATCTGATTAAAGTTTCTCATCTTTAAGCTAACCAGGAAGTAGAGGCAGGTGTCAAGTGGCAAACATATGCTAGAATGTGTTTAGTGACCTCATGGAGATGGTCAATAGTCAGTAACCCTACACTTCCTGTGCTGTGGGAGAGGCCTGTAATGGCTAACTTCTTGTTTGGCATGAGTGCCTGATAGGACAGGAAGTTCCAGGTTGCCATGTTGGTCTTATGTGATAACATTATCACATGGCCTTTACTACACACTCTCATACTTCGGGGATAGTTTACGCTGTAGTTGTATATTTGTCAGAAGTTCAGTCCCAAAGATGAGAAACTCGTAATAGATTTTTGTGTCTTTAATTGTGCTGTGATGGGTCAAATATTGGTCAATGGAACCTTGTTGCTATGAATCGTTGCTTAATTGTTAATCTATATTGTTGTTGAAGCAATTCTGTTAGTTTAGTTCCTTCTCATTATTTGTATTTTTTTGTTTATGTTTTAAAAAGTCTAGTTTTATTTTGTGTTTCAGTTCACATTTACCATGTTGAACCTTTTGTGTTAAGTATTTTCTGGAGAAAGGTCCATTTTCATCGGCCTCTCTTGTTACCTCTCTCTCTCTTTCTCTCTCTCTCTCTTTTGACGCCCTTGCCCTCTGTTGTCATCCTCTCCCCCTTCCTCATGCCTTCTCCCAGTCCGGCGGGTGCCTCCTCGCTTCTCCATTCCACCAGCAAGTCAGGAAATCATGCCCGGTGGTAGCGTCAACATAACGTGCGTGGCAGTGGGGTCGCCCATGCCTTATGTCAAATGGATGCTGAACGCTGAGGATTTGACGCCAGAGGATGAGATGCCAGTGGGTAGAAACGTTCTTGAACTGAGCAACGTTCGTGAGTCAGCCAACTACACCTGTGTCGCCATGAGCAGCCTTGGGATTATTGAATCTATGGCACAGATCACTGTCAAATGTAAGAGAAAACTGTGCTTGTGAAGACTGGTGCCAATGACCTAGATAGACTTCATAAGTTTAGTTAACATAGACTACCTATCGACATTATGTTCAGTTAAGTTTTAAACATACAGAAAATTGCTGAATTGCCAAAATGTTCCTGTCTCTGGAAAAAATGCCCAAACCTCAAGTGTGTTTTTATTCAAAGTTACGTTTTTTTTTTAACTGCTTTAATTTCTGTTTTTTTACCATAACAGCTCTCCCAAAGCCCCCAGGTACCCCCGTAGTTACGGAGACCACTGCCACCAGTGTGACCATCACCTGGGACTCAGGAAACCCAGATCCTGTGACATACTATATCATCCAATATAGGGCCAAGTCTCCAGACAGCAAATATGAAACTATGGACGACATCACCACTACACGTTACAGCATTGGCGGCCTTTATCCCAACACAGAGTATGAAATCCGTGTCTCAGCTGTCAACACAATTGGCCAGGGTCCTCCTAGTGAGCCGGTAGAAACTCGGACTGGTGAACAAGCCCCGGCCAGTCCACCAAGAAACATTAAGGCCCAGATTCTTCCCCAAAATACCATGATGGTTCAGTGGGAAGAGCCAGAGGAGCCCAACGGGCAGATTAAGGGCTACCGTGTTTATTACACCATGGATAACTCCCAGCCCATGAGCCTCTGGCAGATCCATAATGTCCAGGACAGCCTCATCACCACTATCCAGAGCCTAGTTCCTCAAGAGACCTACACAATCAAAGTTTTAGCATTCACCTCTGTAGGGGATGGACCTTTTTCAGAACCCATCCATGTCAAAGTACTGCAAGGAGGTAAGGACTCTATACCGACTGATATTTCCTAACTGGGTCAGCTCGGCTGCTGGTTTTGAAACTATGTATGATGAGCATCTGTTCAGTGTTCAGAAAATGTTGAAAGCACATTGTTAGGTAACTTTAAAGTAAGTCATACAGAAATTCTTCAAACGATATGGCCCCTAAAGCAGAAGGCTTTAGACGAATGCTGTGAAAATGGAAAATAAACAGTTGTTTTTTTATGAATCTGTTGCATCCTATATTTTCTGAAACTTTGAGCAGACTGTGCTCGGTGCCTAAGAGACATTGTTTTCTTTCCTGCTGTGCAAACTTCACATCTCCAAATGATGTTACAATATGTTTGATCATGATAGTCTGAATAAAAAAAAGCCCGATTTGAGAAAGAAGGATGAGCTTCAGGGCACATCCACTTTTAGATACCGCAAAATAAGTAAATTCTCATTAGCCTAAATATATTATTGCATTGGTATTTGGAGGAAACTTGTAACTAATTTCTAGTAACCTATCCCACTACAAAGTCCTCTGCTGTGTTCTTCAGTTCCAGGTCAACCATCTAAATTCCAGGTTGGTGCTGTGTCCGATACCAGCATTCAACTAACCTGGGAACCCGCCTATGAGAAAGAGGGAATTATAAGTTATGAACTTCGTTATATGGAAAGCACTTTTGGAGGCCAGGTAAGAATCTTAGTGTTTGTTGGTTTTTACATTCAACAGACGCTTATCGGACGTTGCACGTCGTTTAAATTCAGACTTGTCCAAAGGCATATTTTTAATCAACAGATGAAGAAAACATTTGGACCCACAACATCATATGTTGTGGAAGGTCTCCGTCCCAACACAGAGTATCGCTTCTCCCTGGCAGCCATCTCTAACAAAGGCATCGGAGCCTTCACAAATGACATTACGCAGAAGACCTTGCAAGCGAGTATGTAGCCCTTTATTCAGTCTCCCGTCTAACTTTCTTTTCGCTAACAAAGAGGTTTTCCTATCTATGCCACAGTTAAAAAAACATCATGACTGTACGCCTTTGTGGACCATTGCTACACTGAATACTAAACTGAATTTCTAATGGAGTTTTGTGTTTTTTCCCCTTTTCTCTGATGTCAGCGGTATCATCACTTATTCCTTAATAATGACTTCCTAATCACAGTTCAAAGCTGATTAAGACCACTTAGCAAACTGATTTAACTGTTGTTGAATTCTTGCTGTTTTTTGTGGATTCATATTTCTGTATTTGACCTTCGTATTGTTAACCTTAATGAACCAAAACAACGGCGGTATGTTCTACGTTGGTGGCAAGGTGGTTAAAAAGAAGCTACAAAGGGGTAAAGACTTTTCAAACTGAGTGTTTTGCAACGTTTTTGTTTTTAATTTGAGAATTATTTTATCTTCTAAATTAGCTGTGGTGCCAAAATGTGAGTGTACTCTGTCAAACATATTGAGTCTTTGTGGACTGACAATTTTGGCAGTTTTCTTTCTTTCCCTTTTCAATTTTGTTCATATTTGCTTCTCCTTTGTCAACAGCAAGTGCACTTCCCACGTGACAGAGACACAAAAAATGTCAGTTCTCCTCTGAAACCGCCAAGGCTCTTATATGAGCTGTATGTGTAGTAGCAACGTGAATTTAGTCACGAAAGACCAAAAAAAAAAAGAAAGTAGTAGTCGCCTAAATTACTAAAATGCCCACCCTCTAAATTTATAGCAGTCTGTTCTGCACTTATTTTTTTATTTTACTGATGGTAGAAACACAACTGAATTATTCAAACCATCCAGCTAAAAATAACAGCAGTGATATCATAGTGCACAGTGGTGGAGTCTGTGGGGAAAGAAAATACCCACAGTTTATCCAGTCAAATGCAGTAGTAGGTACAAGTAAAACAATGTATTAAATTCATTGTCTTTTGGGTTTATTATAAATAAAAAGCACAAGAGTGATGTGTATTAAGATGTAATGCATTAATGGTGAAGAACCTTGAAAATAGACCTGGATTTAAGGGATTACTGGTGGATCTGAGCCAGTCTTTGTAATAATAGAGAAGTCAAAAACGCATGCTTTGTTGGAGTGGCTATTGTTATTCTCAATAATCTGCATTGTGTAGATTTAGAGAAGTTGTACACCGACAAAGGAGAGCCATGGCGGGAGAGAGACTTCTTTTAACACATTTTCTGTTTCTACCAGTGCAACTTGTTGGCTGTATCCCCACATCTGGATGTGTGTGGGGGGGCAGCTTTGAAACAACCACGTCACAGTTCTTTTTGTTACTGCTAGGCAGCAGAGCTACACAAGCAGTGCATAGTCACTGAGGAGGGCGCCACCTGCATGCCATACTCACTCCTGCCCACTTGGGGTGCTGTTTTAAACCTAACACTGCACCGCTGATCTTTAAGCAGTCCTGGCATGATAATACTCTGTGTTCATCCCTCTTTTGTCTTGGTGTCTTTTGAGTGTCTGTGCACATTTTCACCTATCATTGTGTCTTTGTGATTTCCTTGCCCGGTAAACCACAAGCTGATTGGATTGGATACGCCTCTATCTTCCTATCACATCCCTATTTCAGCTCTGTTTCCCTCTTTTTTGCCACTTGTTCCCCTGTGCATTGGAACAAAAGGTCCTCCTCCTTTGAATGGCTTGACATCACTTTGCTCACTTTGTGTCCTCTCCCTTTTATGTTGACTCTTTTGGAAAAGGTTTTCTGTTAGATGTTTTATTTATTTATCAATTTGTATTTATTTCTGGGTTCTCTGAAAGAGTATTGGTTTGGCATCATTCCAAACAGTAGCTTGCTACTCTTTTTGGCTTTGTTTTGAGGGGTGGGTGGGGTGGTGGTTCTCGTATGAACCGACAAAGCAAGTACAACACAAGAGACGAAGCAACACACGGCATATTTGCCTTTTAAGTAAATATGGGGCATAACAGGCTTAATTCTTCCTCTGAGTTGCTTCATCTATGCATTTTCATTGGATGATAACGATATCTAGCTGCCCATCTTAAAATTTAATACTACTCTCCTAGATATTTTTTATCAAACTCCGTTTTTTGTAAATATTGTGTCCCATGTAAGTTCTGCTTTCCATAATAGAGTTGATATTAAATATTATTCTAGCTTTAATTTTAAGGTTTATCACCGCAGGCACCAGAAAAATCAAAGAATAAGTCAGACAATGCAAAATATTTCCCAACACTACACATTAAATAACGTAAGCTTTTTCGATGCTCTGAGGTAAGTGGTTGTGTGGTTTAGAGATTCAGTCTGCCATAACATTTATCAAAGACCATCCAGTTTATAGTTTTTTGGGTTTTTTTCCATTAAACATATCAACAGCAATTGGAAAGCTACCTTAAGCCTTTTTTATGCTTAAAAATATTTAATAGCTGCAGTTCGGATGCTTATACAGCACAGGATGTCTCTAAATCTGTAGACATATACGGTATAAGTTGTATTAAGTGGCTTCATAATTGAGCTAAAATTGTCACTCTGTACAGCTGAAAAAGCTGAATGTGTTAAGGTCATTATTGACATATAGATGCAAAGAAGCAGATCTACCAGCGATTTAATAGCTTTTTTTTTATCTACTGAGTACACAGACACTAAAAACTGCTACACATGCACATATAATACTCCTACTTTACAGTATAATGAAGATTAAGTGGTTGCTTGACTGAACTTACCGCAGTTAATTTTAAAGATTAATAACTTGCTCAGGAGGAATCAGCGTCATTAGGTCAAAAATAATAATAAAATGAATTAATATTGCCTTTGCCTGTTCTATCCAAACACATTGCAGAGCAACAGCATACAATCCCCCCCGTGTAGACCCATTTCAACTGGGTTTGAATCCGCCGCGATGTCTGGCAGACTGAAACACTTCGCCACAAAGTGAAAAGAAAGACAGACAACATGATTTTCCAGTTTGCTTTGTTGTCTAGTATCTGTGGTAAAAATGTTCACATATTGTTGAAGTTTGTGCTCAGTCCAAGTAGCATTACCCGAGGCTATTGTCATGGGGACCATTCTGTCAAGAACTCAGAAAAAGTCACTTCGGAGAATAACAATTTTCTTGGAATTCTCTCACGACCTTTAATTGCGCTGCTGCGATTGATGCCAAGCAACTTATCAAACTAAAGAGCACCAAAATCATTACATTTGGTGCTCTCGGCCAGTGTTTTAATAGGCCGGATTAAATACAGCAAATGTTATTGGCAACAGTGGCCCCCATTCAGAAGCAAGGCCTCATGGGGTATGCTGCCATAGTCAAACCAGGATGCGATAACTTTTGTGAAACCTGTCAGACGTGGCCGGAGTGGGTCCACAACCTGAGAGCCAGGAGGTGCTCCCAGCATTCCTCTAGCTGTTATCCACGCACAAGGCAGGGTAACAGGACCTGAGACAGACCCTGGGAGTGGGTGTTAAGGGACTGCAGGGCCCCAGAGTCGCAGATAAGAATCCCATTTCATAGCGTCAGAATTAATTTCATGCTTTGCGATGAGCTATGAGCCAAGGCCCTGGATTGTCAGGCTTTGTTACACATTTAGATTATACCTAGAACCTGCCAGTAGCCACTCAAGGGCTATCTCTCAAATTAAAGTGGCAGATTCTAAATCCTCTGTATTTAACCAAACAAGCAGTCAGCCGCCAACCTCAATGCGCACAAACACACTTACTGTAATTGAAGTGGGTTTTTAGATATATTGGAATATTTGTGTAAGCCACACCACGGCCATTTGGCATCAGTGGAGAGATTAATTCCATAATGATCTACAAATTCGAACATCCTGTCATCTGATGAAAATACAGTGCAGATATAGACATGTGCTTAAAATCTGATAGCAAAAGCACGGGCAATCTGTCATGTGCAGGGTTCAATTCACAACAGGCACTCAGTAATAGCTTGTGTAACTAAAATTGCAAGCATTAATGTATGTAAGTTGCTTGGCTCCCGAGGCAATTTTAATCCGAATGTAGTCATAATAATTAGGTATGCTACCTGCACTTGACATTATTGATTTTATATCCAAAGCACCCGGTCACATCACAACAGACTTAAGAGTCAGAGGATATAAAAGCAGACATGACTAATTATTTGTCAAAGAGCATTTTGGGCACGTCTTTCAGCGAAGCTTCAAAAGAGTCAAGTGAAGCATTAGCTGAGTTTCTTCTTTTGTGCTCGTATAGTTCTAGTATCCGTAATCCTGCCACTGGACTTCCTGGGATATGCACTTTATTAAAGCTGTGCCCCAGCCACTCTTAAACTGTTATCAGGCATGAGGATGCCTGTGCGCTGTGATAGCCTGGCCACTGTCAGTTTCATAGCCATTTTCTGCCCACAAAGATTGAGAACTGAGCAATCGTTCTTGACGTGGAGGGTTTGCAAATACAATATGAGCGAAAGGAAAGAAGCTGAAAAGCTCAAAATCCAGTAAGACCTTAAGTAAATAAGCCCATTGGACACAGAAGGGTTTGGAAACTGTGGCTGAGGTCCTGTTTTATTTGTTGTGCGCTAGAACATTCAGTCTTCGCTGGGAGGAGGCCTGTCTTATTCTCAGAACTCCTGTTTTTTATTTCCTTTTAAAGCTGTTCTACCCAAAGTGACATTACAGGCAGAACACTGTCATTAAACTTTTATGAATTCCACAACACAAGCTTTCCATGTTGCTTCTTCTATTATGGTGCCCTGGCATTCTCGTAATGGCACTAAGCTTTACAAAGAGACATAGGCACATGGCTATGAAATGGGATTTATTTTTGCAAATTGCAAATAAAAAAGGATGTTTGTGTAGTTGGCCAAATGTACTAGAATGGAATATCTTGGGAGGGAGTATTTTTCCACCAACGCTTCCACCGCTCACAGTCTTGTGGACCTTCCCAACCGACAGTACAGTATCAGACAGCCCTGGCTACAGCATAGAGCCAACTCTTTCTCTTATAGTAAACCCAAAAAAGGGGGTTAAAAACAAACTCTCAAAGTTAAAAGGTGGCTCGCTGATTTCTCTCAGAATTTGCGGCATGCTTTCTGGCGAGGAAAGCGTTGTCGCACAGCAAAGTCGGCTCATTCTGTAGTCAGGTGCTGGTGGTAAGAAAGTCTTTAAAATTGTGTGTTTTTGGGAGTCAGGTACGTATTATGCAGACAGCGCTTGTGTTTTCTTTATGTTTGTTTGCTTTTCAGAATTTGAATGTTCTTATTTTGTGTTCATGCAGAGTTTCTTTTCCATGTTTACTCATGAGTTCTCATCTTGAACTTTAACTGTTGTTGTAGTTTCTTTTTGAGTCACCTGGGTTACAGAGAAATTTGTTTCAGTGCCCTCCTTTTGTTCATAATTTCGTTTTTCAGACTTTGTTTTTTCCAATGTTTTTATTTCTTTTCTGCTTTATGTGGAATGCTTTATTATTTTATTTCTTTTGATTGTTGTGGTTTGTTTACCTACATAATAGACAAAAGATGTAATAATGAACTGGGTTTGTCACATTGGCAGGGACCGTGCATATTTTCACATTAAACTTGCACAGTGCCATTGAATAGAAACATTTTCATCCAATTCTTCCATACAGTACCAAACCCTGGATGAGAAGGGTTATCGCTCCCTACATGGCACATTCTCTGGACAAGCTCAAGCTGTCTGAGAACTTGGCTCAGATCAGAAAGAAAGGCACTGAGTTTGGTCTAGAAACTTTTCAAAGACCACTTCAGACACAAATAATAGACACCACGTTGGACTGATTTAATACTGTAAAGAAATAAAGGACAGATACAAAATCTCTTTATACGAAATCTTGAATATCTATTGCAATATATGTATTAGTGCTGTAGGCGTTAATCTCATTAACGCCATAACTGCATTAACGCAGCAAATCTCCGTCAACAAGTTACCGCGGATCGCCCCGTGTGTGGGGTGTGTTAGCATGGTAGCTCGTTAACGCGTTGACGCCGTGCATCCCCACAAACGGGCCGATCCACGGTACTCTCCTTAGTTGTCTGAATAAAGTGCCTCGTTTGAAATAATACACTACAACAGGGGTGTTCAACATAAGGCCCGGGGACCAGAACAAGAAGGAGGGCATAACATTTGCAAATTAACAGCTTAGACCTCTCCATTGGTTATTTACACTTCACCAAAGTAACAATTAAATGACAGAAAAAATCTTTTTTCTATGATCTACCATAGAAATTTCTGGGTTTTTTTTTTTTTTTACAATGGTTCTACAGTTAAAAAATATATATATTTGAACTTTTTGTGTACTTTTATTTCTTACAGTTTAAATCAAGCTGACACATATTGCTGCCACTTATTGCTGCAGTGTTTCTTTATCATGTATAAAGCTAAGAAATACTGTTGAGATTACCTTTCTTATTCTTTTTCTAAACGTGTAGTTAAACTTCTTTATGCTGACAGAAAGCTGAGTGAGATCAAAGTGGGCTGTATATGGCCCACTGTGTAAAATGAGTTTGACGTCCCAGCTCTACACTGACACAACATAGTATATGCATATCCAGTGCTCATATCCCAAAATGATAGCTATCTGGATTCATTATTACACCTGCTTGTGCCATTTATCCATTTATTGCATCTTAAGTTGACATTTGCTTGAGTTTTATTTTTTATTTGAAATTTGTTTTGCATCTGTCTTTGTTTTACAATTTTCTTTGGATTCTTCTTCTTGTTTTTTATTTAAGTTTTGAATTTCCCTTTCTTTTTTCATTTTCTTTATCTCTCCCATCTTTTTTATTTTTTTGTTTTTCACCCCTCCTCCCTCCTTCCCCATCCTCCTCGTCCTCCTCCTTCCTCCCAACCCGCCCCTCCTTCCTTCCTTCCTGTCCTCTCCACTTCACCAGAGCCCTCAGCTCCCCCTCAAGAAGTTAAGTGCAGCAGCACCAGCTCTACCACCCTGTTGGTAAGTTGGCGCCCCCCACCTTTGGAGAGTCAGAATGGTGCCCTGGTGGGGTATAGGGTGCGCTACCAGGTGGTGGGCCAGTCAGAAGGGGCCGGTGACAACGAGGAACCGCTGGAGGAGCCCATGGTGCCTGCCACTGAGGAGCAGGTGTTGCTTCAGCGATTAGAGAAGTGGACCCAGTACCGTGTCACGGTGTCTGCCTCCACTGTGATTGGGCCTGGCCCCGAGAGTGAGCCCCTCGTCTGTCGGACCGACGAAGATGGTAGGTGAACCTAGCCTGTGCAGAAGCTCTTGTATTGACTTTTTATTATGGCTCAATAGCACTTTAGTTTAGTGGTGAGTATACCACCGGTAAACATTGTTTTTCTGTTGTATGTGTATGTGCAACCCAGTATCACAGCAAAATGTGTAATAGACACGCCAGTGCGCGGTTTCCATTTCACACTATGCTTCTCCAAAACACAAAGTGGACACGTATGCAAAAATTGCATTACCAGCAGGAAGACATGATGTATTTAAAGCCACAAAGTCAGTAGTGAGCCAAATACGTATTAAGTACATTCCAGTGTCCTTAATTGTCAGAATTAAGCTAGGGGCCTAATATATATATTGTCCTATATGATGGAAATGTGCTGCACATGCATGCATAAAAGAAACTATGATCACATGGTATCAAATGCATACCAATAATGTTATAGCAGCATACTGCTTTATAAACTGTGCAAATGGAAAGACTCAAAATGAAATATACACATGGGAAATCAAGCATTTTTGCTATTGCAACATAAACAACTACTGTCTTATTGCTCAACTGAGGGCCATATGCATTTATGCATATGGGTACAAGGCCTTATCCATTCAAGCATTTCCACAAATAAAGAGTCACAACACAGTGACAGTATCTATCGAAAGCCTGTCATTATGATAATAAGTATCTTTAAGGAAATGAGATCCAGGGCTGAACAGTAGAACGCGCCTTGTTAATGAACACAATTTTACCATGATGATGGGAAAGATGATGGGGTGGTGATTTAGAGGCAAAAACAGGGAGTCAAAGTGTTTTATAAAGGAGCAAATGGAAGCAGGTTGAGTGGAAGAATTTTATCAACAGAACATCCATCTCACGATGGGACGGTCCGTGGCAAACTGAAAGGCCCGAACGCAAGGCCTGCCATAAAAGTCTGTCATTATGACTGACAGACGAGGTTTACCACAGACAGAGACGTACTGAAAAGGTGGAAGAGACGCGGGGAAGTGATGAATGCGTGTGCATGTGTGCGTGTTGAATTTCGTGGGAAGACTGACACTGGAGTGTGTTTGTTGTTTCTAAATGGTTTTGTCCATCATTCTTGCTAGCTGTCAATAGTTTTCTCTGTGCGTACATGAATTTGGATTCAGGGAGTTATTTATGTCACGGCATGATGATGTGAGGCGCTTTTACGACGTAGGGCGGTGAATCAGACTCACAGGTGTGTAATGGTCTCATGCGAGGATTTGATTATTTCTTTAATTTCTTGTAGTTCCTGGGGCTCCTCCGAGACGGGTGGAGGTGGAGGTTATCAACTCCACAGCAATTAAGGTGATGTGGCGTTCTCTTACGCCAGGCAAGCAGCACGGACAGATCCGTGGCTACCAGGTTCATTACGTGCGTGTGGAAAACGGCGAGTCTCGAGGCCTGCCTCTCATCAAGGATGTGATGCTGGCTGATGCCCAGGTATGACCATCTCGTAGTTTTCCTTCTACAAATTAGCTGTCAGAAAAATGCAAATCCCGCCACGCAGCATGCATTTATCGTGCACAAATCACGCTAAAAATTGCAAACATATGCGTAAGGCATTGCCTTATTTTTTTCTTCTCATGCAAATCGCGAATTGTCTAGTTAATCCACGCTGTTGCAGCAGGAGTATGGGGAGCGATAGGGCTCTTGCCTTGTAGATTTCATTTCATGTTGCTGTAATATTCTTTCTCCCTCAGCCCGTCGACACACAATAAGAGCTATAATCAAAGCTTCACTCATCTTGTCCTCCTTCTTCTACCTCAATGGCTTTTATTAGGAATGTCAAGACCCCTGCTTCATGGCAACATATGCAATGAAATATTTATGTGTGCTTGTATCCAGTGCAAAGACTTGGAGAAAATGGGCACGGAACTATTTCACCACAATTTAGACTTTGACTGGCAGACCTGGAAACTATGCTTTTTGGGGGTTTGTTTGTCTTTGTTGGGTTTTTTTTTTTTTCCGTCAACACAGTTCTAGTGATGACTGTGTGTAGTACCGGCGTTTCAAATGGAGATTTTGAACAATTGGGAAAACAAAACACAAAAAAAGTTTAGTGCATTCAGGCCAAGCACCACATGCACGGGCAAAAACCTCTTTTTTATATCTATTTATCTTAGTTTGTATCATCATTAATCCATGTAATGCTACATTTTAATGCCATTGCTGCTTGTAGTTATCAATTTATAACACTATTGTGCCTTTTTGTCAGCTGAACAGTAACATAATTAAACTAGCAGACCTGTACAGCTCTCCTCACAACATAAACTTCAAACAGCTTCTTTCTCTCCTGACCTCCTAAAACCAGTGCCCTATTTCTGATACTCATCCCCTGCTCCCAAACCTCTTATGCCCCCGTCTCTCACAATCCTATTTCTTCCCTTTCTTTTTTTTCTCTTTCTTTGAACAAAAATATTGCTCTCTCTCCTGCGCTCTTTGGCGGGGGGGGTTAGTGGGAAACAGACGATACAGCTGAATATGTGAGTACGAAGCTTCACCTGGGTGCTTTGTGTGCCTGAAAGAGTGTAAACAGAGGGTATTGCATCAGCCCGGGAAGATTCACAGATTACACAGCCCGTCCGATCCTTGTTCATTAAGTCTGGACAACAGTGTGGCTCAGGGGCTTAGCTCTCTGGTGACTCGGTCTAAACACTATATCTGTGCATAACCAAGAAAAAGGGGGCTTACGTCTGTCATCATTTAGTTTGTACACTTGATGGCTGATGCAATACCCACTGACCGCTGTGCCTGGAATGCTAACGCTATTTGTATCATACTGTGTGCTGACAGTGTGTTGTGTTTTGTGCTCTGGTGGTGTTTGTATGATTTTTTTCCCCCTTCTGTTTTGTGTTTGTGTGATCTGTGCTCCATAGATATATATTCTTTTTAATGTGGTGCCTTAGAAGTACTGTGCTTCCTTGAGTTTTGTATATTGAGATGGTAGTTTAAAGAATATCTCTGTACGACCCACATTGTGATCATTCATATTTTTTACTTTGCACAGAATGTTCTCTACCTTTGAACCAGAGTACATCTACATTACACGAGTACCATGTCAAGTGCAAGACACTACTTATAGCTCATTTACCTTTATTGATTTCTCCCATCCTTCTGCCAAACTAGTGCCTGTTAAAAACCTAATTCTGCATTCGTTCAAACCTTCTCTCTTGAAAGATTCATTAGAATTGATCGGAAGCCTCTCTTTGAAGAGGACTCAAGGAAACTTAATGGCTGAGGTAAAAAACTGCCAGGGAATGGCCAGGATGTATTCAGCATGCATTTATCAAAGTTAAGTTGTTGATTGGAATATTGCTAAAGGACTAAGTGGAACTACTTTCCATTTACATGCATAATGTCACTCCTCTACCTTGGCAGATCTAATAATTTATGTAATGGAAATGTCTTCCATTACACAGGGGGAAACATTACATTTAATGCATGCCTCGTGAAAATTAATAAAGAGGAGCAGGAGACACTTGGCTTAGATTAACATTCTGCATAAGGCGGTTTGAGCTGCACGAAGTGGGGTCAAATCATGAAAAATTCAACACGTATTTTGACATTTTCCTGTCTCTGCTTCTTCCGTGTGTCCCATAGGAAATGGTCATTGGAGGACTCAAGCCAGAAACCACTTACTCCATCACAGTGGCAGCATACACCACCAAGGGGGATGGTGCTCGGAGCAAACCCAAACTGGTGGTGACCAAAGGCGCAGGTTAGTACAATGATAAATAATTGATTTGTTTGTTGTCATAGAACCTTTGTTCGTGCAGCAGTACAGCTAACTTGTTTTTCTGCCTCTGACTGAAGGGTTTTTCGCTCAGGGACTCCTGTTCGCTCCCATCCAGCTGTCTCCGCTATGATTGTGCTATGATTGCTTGTTTGCATTTATTTAACAATACTCAAAGAACCCTCGCAGAGAGCCACAATATAGTGTGATTAACTGATTCGGATCTGTTTAGTAGACACGAACAAATGCAATAATGAATAATTTCAAGAATTTCTGACAGTTAACTAAGTGTAATTAGGACTCTTTATCGACAGCGCCATAGGCTATGATATTAACAGTGTGTTCAGCTACTCAGGGCTGTTATTCAGGGCACATCTAAGTCTAAGGCAGTGTTTGCTTTTATCAGTGCTGCGTTTATCATTTGAGTCATGTCCTGAAGGCTAGCCACAGATTTTTAGAGATCAAGGCCACGGATCTTTTAGAGACCAGGGCATGGTGTGAGTTTTTTTTTTCCCTAAGACAGATTATGAGAGCATGAAAACACGTGTTGCTCTTTGGTTTTAGCTGTATATTAGAGCCTGCACTCTACAAAGCATTGTTTTCTTCACATTTCTCCTTTTTTTTCCACCGGTGAGCATACCAGTTTGTCTAGACTTCTACTGCCTAAAAGCTGGTAGTTTGTTTAGAATGAGCATGATCTGCAGAGGATGTAAAAAGCTTGCATACCCCTGCTAAAATGCCACATTTTTGTAATGCAAAAATAGAAAAATATATATTATTTAGAAATGTTCTACCTAAAATGTGACCTATAACCTGTACAATGTGGTTCAAAACCAGATCTGTTAGGGGGTAAAATAAAAATAATAAGTTCCATATCAACAAGCTTAGGTTTTGGGTTTAGTTTAATTGTAGGTACATTCAGTCAGTTTGTTTCCAAGCCAATGTATACCAAAACAAACAGCAAGGAAACAGTGAGGACAATAAATGACAAATGAAATGACGTAAAAGTGACAATAACTAGACCTGAACAAAGTTGATCAAAAAATAAGAAGTCAGGGAGGCGGATTTTCTTACAAAGAAAATAAGCAAAATTTTGCAGCAACATCTATCAAGTCTCCCAAAAGGATGTGGAGCAATGTTTCTGGTCTGATGAAACCAAGGGTAAAATTCCAAAGCTTTTTATTACAACCAAAACAATGGCATACCCGCAGTGAAGCATGGTGGTGGCAGCATCATGCTTTGGGGCCGTTTTCTTCAGCTTGAGCTGGAGCCTTAGTTAAGGTGGAGGGATTTCTGAGCAGTTTCAAACACCATTGAGTTTTGGCACAAACAGTGAAGTTTATGCTAGAAAGCATTTTAACGTTTAGTGTGCCAAAAACTGAAAGCATGCATCCAGATCAACAAAAGAATGGCTTGATTAGAAGAAGATTAAAGTTTTGAAATGGCCAAGCCAGAGCCCAAAACTGAATCCAAATAAAATATTGTGAGGTGACCTGAAGAAAGCAGATGATGCAATTGGACAGATTTGGATCACTTTTGCAAGGAAGACTCGGCAAATATTAGAAAGTCACGATGCACTGCGCTTATAGGCACCAACACCATAAGAATGAATTATGTTACAACGTCAAAAGGTGCTTCAACAAAGTGTTAGTTTGAGAGTGCATATTTATGCAGAAGGTTATTGTAAGTTTTTTATTTCAATCCTTTTGCAGTTGAGTTGCAGGGTCTGTAGGTCATGTTAGAGGTTGAAAAAGTTCAAAAATTATTTTGCTTGGTCTAATTTTTTTTTACATCATAAAGTAAACTAGCATTTTGACAATGGTGTGAAGACTTTTCATATTCACTGTGAACTTCAGGTTGACTTGCTATGAGTTGGAAAGCTTTCTGTGAGTGGTTTTAGGCCATTAAACTAAGAGTGTGTATGCATGTACTTGAGAAGGCCTCAAAGTGCCAGTATGTGCACAACTGTATACATACAGCACATACTACGATTTACTTGCATACGCCTGCATACATGCAATCAGAATAAGTGTTTTTTGACGCTATTATTATTTTAAAATAGTGAGGGATGCAAGGATTTAATATATGTTCATTTGTTGTTTCTGTGTTTTTTTTGTTGTTGTTTTTTAAAAAAGCAAAGAAAGAAAGAAACCCGCCATTACCTACATTCACTGTCTAACCAAACCAAAATTACAACAAAGCAGTAGCACTACTAAACTAAAATACTTCCTGAATTTTGGTTCAGTGTGTGATATGGGACTTTACTACCTGGTCTGATCTCCAGGAAATAGACAGTGGCTGCAAACAACAGTGAAGTAGGTTACAGAGCCTCTAGCAACCACTAGACTAGCTGACATGCAGAAAACTAAGCTTGTTGAATACATTCAATGCTCAAAATGTGTTCTAAGCTACAAGTAACAAAAAGACTGGATATATACAGGGACACAAAAAAACCCTAAATCAGGGCTGGCTGGAAGAACAGATTGGCTGTACTTTTGAAGCAGGTGGAAGAATTACTGCTGCAGCTTGATGAGAGCACAGGACTGGGGCACTGTCCAATCAGTAACGACAGAAGGCAGAATGAAGGAAGAGCAGTTAGGCTGGAATGCAGGATGTAAAAAAAAGTGCAGGCACTAAATTCTGATCTTGGGGTTACATTCAGAATTACCTTACAAAACGTCAGAAGACTCAAAAAGACAAAGGACAAGGTGGTGTAATGGTCGAGTAATGTTCAAAAAAATGCTTATATCTTGATAAAGCTGGTGTCTTTCAGTCCATGCTCTCATTCCCTTCCATTCCCCCCAAAAGCAAATAACTTTAAATCCATCCACCCATCTATCTTCTATTTCAGAAGTTCTCCACATAGATATTTTAAAAACGCAGTATTTCTGCTTTGCTGAATCTTTATCAGGATTTGATTCTTTCGCCTGTAACGATATGTGCAGACCTGTAGAGTGGCATGTCATACGCTCCTGTACACACAACACATTTTCACAACCTAACGTGTGTACACACAAATGTCCCATCTCATGACAAGTGTGTGTTACAGGTGTCAGGGAGCATGGCGCTGCCAAAGGGGCCTGAGCGAGTGCTGTCACTCTCCATCCTTCTGTCAGGACTGGCTGACTGATGCGCCATTCCAGAGCAATTCTGTTTGTCCCTCGAAGGGAAAGCTTCTCCTTTTTATTATGATTGAATTAAAGAACTAGTTTATGCCAGGGGCCAAGATAAATAGAATAGGGTAAGAGGTGAGAGATGGGGGTGTGGGGGGAAAGAAGTAAAAACAGGCTTTCTTGGAGGTAAAGCAGATGTCCTTCTTGTCCCAAGCACCGTTAGGATGATTGTGACATTGGCAATTTTCAAGGCAATTTTCTTTTGTTGTTTTTTTCCTCCAGAGCAAGCTGAACTAATTGAATAGTTACATCTTTGAATTACAAAAAATTCAGACAACATGAGAACAGGTGACAGAATCATCAGATTATACACAGTTCATAGTGTCTGTACATTCAATTACAGAGGACGGTCTCATATGATTATATTATGGTATTAGTGGACTAATCAAGAAGCCCTGCTTCAGGCTTTTGAGATTTTGTTTCCATGGACCCAGACTTCCTTTTCATTTTTAAAGTGTTCTTAAGCAATACTTCTTCAGCCTTTCCTAAGGTCTGCTTTTTCACTCATTTCACTCGTTACCTGACCATTATGTAGAAGATTTGTTTGGTGTTGTTCGGTAAGACACTTTACACTGACCTATAAATCATTGACGCATAAAGCAGACACCTATCTCAAGGGATAAAACAGTGCTGTGTTTACACAGACAGCTGAGCAACTTGGTTCAAATCGACATCAATATGTAATGAAGGAGGTCATGCCAGAGCTACAACAATGAGCGTCTACAGGCATCTGTAAAACATGGCGGAGGCTCTGTCATGGTACCAGTGGTGGAATTATGAACGCAGAAAAGCAACTGACTTTTTTTTTTAGCATCTTTAGAATTCTGCTTTTGCCTCATATACTATATCTTCGTCACCGATTTGCCTTTTTTTTTCAAATATTAAGACATTTTCAGGTGTCTCGAGACTTTTGCACAACACTGTAACTGTAACATTGTACATTCTTCAACTACAAAACTAAACAAAACACAAACTTTCATAGAAACTTTTCATCAAAAACCACACTAAAAATGGATCCCAACTTGTAGGAACTTATAAACCCAAATTTAAGATGTTTTCTTCTTCTTCACCATGAAAAACAGATGTTCTTTGTTGAGACAACCACTCCGTCGTGTGGTTTGCACTTGTGTGAACTCACTCATAAATTGGCACACTTCAAATGCGTATTGTAAATCAATTTAACATTCTCCCACATTGTACGTCCTCTAAAAATATATTTTTTAAAAAAAGGTGTAACTTCAATTTCTTCTAAAATCTTTTTTTTTTCTAAAGCGTGCACTTGAGGAGAGCAGTTGCCAAAAGAAGATGTCATAGCCTTGGTCTTTTTTTTATGTAACAATAAGGCTTCGATACAGTACGTCATGATAACGATGGCATGTTTTTTCTTGCCAGTAAAAATTGTAACATCAATGGCCAAGGCTTTTCATCTTCCAGACTTTCCAACTAGCCTCTCTGGTAGTTTGGTGTATCAAAAAGGATCTGAAAAGGATCTTTTGCAGGATTTTGTCTGACTTGGATAAAACTGGAGTTCCATACCTATTTGTGAGTCATAGATGAACAACATTTATTCTGTGGCTGAATCTCTCTTTGTTTGCTGAGTGAAAGCTAGGTTTGAAAAAGTGGCTTTTCATGAGTCATGTTTTTAAAACTCTTTGTTTGAGGAATACACTGAACCACGGCCAACAATCAATGGCTGCGTCCTTTAAATCTTTTGTTCTTGCTCATATGCTAATGGAAAAAATAAATAGTCAAGACTTCATTATAAGTCGAACAAAGTCAAAACATAATGCTACAAAGGCACAGTTGTTTATTGGTAGGCTGTGCGCCAAGTTGCTCAAAATATCAGCTTGGGATCCCAAGTAGTATAGAGCAAGGGGAAAAACTGTTATTTTGCATCACCGGGTACCAAACATAAGGCCCGTTGGTGTGATCCACACAAAGGGATGGATTAAATCATATTAGGTTTGATTTTAATTATTTATAAATTGCATTGCAAGTATGGATGGGTATTGATTCAGATCAAATCCGCCACACCACTGTTATTTACAGCTTTAAAGATTGCTGGGTATCCTCCACTTGTAACATCTTAACTGGTTAAAACTCCCTTAGGCCAACCTCACAGTACTTGATGCATCATGCAAAAGGTTGCTGAGCTCTTTTTCTCCTTGCTTCTTTAATGGCTCTTTCTCTCTGAATGGGCCAAGTGAAATTTATTGCTTTTCTTTCTCCATTACATTTCCCACCCTACAAATTACTACTCTCCATGAATCCCTGAAATATAGGCAGATAGGATTCAAAGAAGCAAAGGGAAAATAAAGATCAGAGAGACAGATTTTACACGACCTTTCAGCATTTGCAAAGTTGCGTATGCGTGACTGACGTGCACAAGAGAGGTAGGAAATGAGAAGGAAACCTGATCGTCCCCTTCTGAGTCAGACTGAGTAAGTATCAACAGTATTCTGTTAATATGGTGGCCTAATGGGAAATGTGCAGGGAGGCCCACAAGGAGAGACTGAATCAGGGTCGACCCTGAAATGGTCAAAGAGTGGAAAGAGGAGGAAGTTAGGAAATGAGAGTGGGAATTGGACATCGTGCGAAGGGAGAAGTAAAGTAAAGAAATTGGGAAGAAGAAAGGGACTGTGGGTAAAAGGAGGGTGACACAGAGGAGAGGTGGAGAGGGACAATCAAAGTGTCTTGGAAGCCCAGAATTGCTCATGTACACACACACACACACACACGTTTCTGCCTCCTCATATCCCTGTTGGGCCCTCTTTGCAGCTGATTGCGCCTTGTCCCCAGTCACCTTCATCATCTCTCATTCACTCATTTTTCAACCCCTCACTATGCCCTTGTTGACTTTATCATCTCCCTGTAGCACCACACACGCACACACACACTCAGCCCACGCCATGAGCAGTCCCCCCACCCCTCCTCCCCCTCTCTACACCAATCTGCTGGCTCAGTACCCGTGATCCCTCTCCCCAGTGTGCACTAGGCCCCAGTTTAAAATGTACAAATAATAAAACCGTTTCGGGGGTACACAGGCTGTAATGGATACATATGGCAGCCTGTTGAATTTCGAAGCGAAGCACAAAAACAGAGAATCACATGCTGCGCCATTGCAGGATCATTTTCCCTGATTCTATTTTCTTGATTAGCAGTGATCATGAAGGGAGAGTGGGTTTCCAAATGACACCAAGCTGAGCTATAGTATGTAGCCAGGGAGTATTAGAAGCATTTGTCTCACCCAACACTCGCTGCCCCCACCTTTCCATTACCGGCAAATGCTCAGCTGACTAGCCGCCATCTACCCACTCACCTCCATCTTCCTCTAGCAACAGTCTTCAGAAAGAAAATCATTGGCAAACAGAAATGAATAATAAGCGCAGAGGAAGGAGAGTATGTGGAGTGGATTTCTCTCTCTGTCCCTCTTGCTCTCTCTTTCTTCTCTTTCCAGGCTCTGTGTGTGTGTGTGTGTGTGTGTGTGTTTACTGTGTGCACAAAACGTACATCTTATCACAATAAACTATATGTAGACACATACAGTATACACGGACACATTTGCACGATGATACTGTTCCACTGAGAGGCAGTACTGTTGCCTCAGACTAATGTTGGCTTCTCCAAATTACTTTAAGTTCACACTGGGCAACAAGCCAAATAGCTCCATGTGCAGCTGGAATGGCGATATAGGAGATGAAGCTGGCTGGAAACCAGGGCCAATAGGCTGACACACATCAGCAAAGAAAATTCAGAGTGTCCATCAAGCACAAAGATACAGGATGCAATGATTAAGGGGTGGGTGCGGGGGTGAATTCAGCTTGAATTCATCTAGCATTAGCGTCAACTAGCGTTAGCCAAAGAAAGCAAATGAAGGCATAATTATGTGTGCATAAGATAATGATGAAAAGTACATAACACCTGCAACCACAGTTAATAATTTGCATTCAGTTTATTTAGTTGTTAATAAATTTATGCAGGATCAAACAGTTTTTCGGGCAGGCCAACTTTGGCAAACAAATCGGCAAGCTTTGTGAGTCTTCAGTATGCAGGAGACTGTCACTCATCATTCTGTCTGACTACTGTAGATACATGTAATTAATTTCATAGCTGACGTGTCTCATTACCTCCTTTGTTTTCTTTATTAATACTAAAGTAATGCATTTGGATTTAAATTCATAAAACAATGTGTATCTATAATATAATACTTTATACACATACATTTGCCAGTTGTTTGTCCCGTCCCCCACCTTTTCTGAGAAAATTTGTTGTTTCTCAGAAAAAGGAGGGAAGTACATAGATCAGAAGATGAGCGAGGAAGCTAGAATCTATTTACATGGGGCTCAAGTGCAAATCAGCCGCGCTCATCTCTCACAAAGCTTTGACAGCAGCTTGAGAACTAAAGGCTTCACATAACTGCTGCTGCCGCTGTCTCGGTGATGGGACCTTAAAAGGAGGGTTAGGATGAGACGTGTGTCATCCATAAGAGCAGCAAAACTGGGCCACTCTGAAGAATAGTGTCTGGACCCCAAGAGTAGATCATCCATTTTACAACAAGAGACAAACAAGGCGCTGTTCTTCGCTTAAAGTTTTAGTGGTGCTTTGCTGTAATGCAATGATTTTTGGCTTCAGCTTCCATGTATCATGAAATGGTAATGGGTACAGCGATCGCTTAGGAATTTAATTCCCCGAGTTTTGTTCATCTTGATCTTTACCTTGGACACATAGACATTGTTTTATGTGCGGTATCTGATCCAGCTATGTTTTTACCATCCTTTGTAAATGCTTCTGTCGTATACTATTTGTATCAATAGTAACAGTGTTGATGATTTTGCTACACAGTACAAAACCTCAGTGCACTTTCTATAACACAAAACATAACTCCTATAGCTGAAGGAAAAATAGAACATAAACGATGGTTATATGTCATGAATGACTCTCAACGCTCACCCATATGTACCGGTTTCGTGTGTCTTATTTAAAAAATGTGCATTCTCATAAAACTGCAATGCAAAGACATCACGCTTTTTATTTCTTTGTTTCTGCAGTACCTGGTCCGCCCTATCTGTCAGTGGCTCAGGACTCAGAGACATCAGCCGTGGCTCGCTGGGATCCTCCAGATCTAACCAATGGCATGGACCTGCAGGGTTACCGGCTCCAGTTTGGCAGAAAAGATGTCTCTCCTTTGGCCACACTGGAATTTGCTCCCCAAGAGCGGCAGTACTCTGTGGGCAACATTCACCGGGGGGCAATTTATCTCTTTAAGATCTCTGCCAAGAGCAGGGGTGGCTTTGGGGAAGAGGCTGTGGTAGAAGTAAATGTGCCTGAGAATACGCCAGGGGGATACCCACAAATTAACGAGGGCTCCAATGTGACTTGCTGCTCAGTGCAGCTGTCCTGGTCTCCGCCAGTCCTGGCAGAGAGGAATGGGGTAATCACAGAGTACACTTTGGCCTATAAAGAAGCTGGCACCAGAGAAGCTCCACGGGAACTCCACTTACCCCCCAGCCTCTCCAGCTATGTGCTCAACAGCCTCAAACCGAACTCAGCATATGATGTGAAAATACGTGCACACACCAGTGTAGGTCCAGGGCCCTACAGCCCGCCTATCCAGTATCGGACCGTGGCCTTTGATCCAGCAGGTAGGGCTTGCCTGTTTGTCTATGTTATCCAACCCAATTGGCGGGGGGTTGGAAATTGGCTAAAACTAATCTGCAGCAACACAAAAACTGCCCACCCCCTCCTTCAACCACCTCCACCTCTCCTCAAGAAAGAGGAAACATTGATATTTAAATTGCTTGCCGTGGGATACTTACTTCACTAACCCAAATCAGGTAAAAGATAAGTCAGTAAGTTATAGTCAGTCATTTTGAGAAAGAGGAAAGAAGCCTAGAATTTCAAGGTAAGTGCAATTTGGTCAGACACTCTTCTCAGTCATTCTTGCAGCCTGTTGCCAAGCACAGTCACTCAGCTAATGTCATCTCACATCCCCAGTTTACAAACAAGGTAGGATCTCAATCAGATCTAGTCACTTTGAGAGTAAGTGTGGACTTCTAAAATTGCAAAACTCTCATTTTGGTTCTTTACTTTATTTTTGGTTTAAGATATTCTGCCCTTCCTAACTCCCTTCCTCTCCCAGAACCTCATTCTCCGTCCCCCTGTCCTTTGACAGGACAGCTTGTGGCATGGCATCCCACAGATGCACCGCTAAGGACTGTTAGCATGCTATGTTTTGGGTTTGTCTCTTTGCCTACACGGCATCACGTTGGCAGTGCCAACCCAGACTTAGTAGAGGTGTAGGATCAGTTGGCATTGGGACCGCATGGGTCAGTTGTTAATCATCAAATGCTCGTGGTTCAAAGATAATGATGAGCTGGGTTGGCACTACCCACGATGGCTAGCCAGTAGGTACACCCTTGTGCTCCATGGGTTTGTTGTCCATGAGTCTTATGTGCTGTGTGTCCTAACCAATCGCGTTGCCCTTCTCACAGCCAATCACAGCTCACCGTTACACTCACTTTCCTACCCAGAGGAACGTTGCAGGGGAAGAACAGCTTTTTTTTCTTTTTTTAAAATGCAAAAAAGAAAAATCAGGTTTCTTTATTTGTTTCCCTTTCTTTCTGATGTAAAGATGGTCCGTTCACTTATGATACACCCTCTTTCTTTTTTTCTTCTTCTTGCGTTTGTGCACTCAACAGATGTTCCAAAGAACTTCACTGTAAAGTGGGCCACCAAGTCCACAGTGGTCATTGCTTGGAAGTTTTCTGAAAGCAGGTCCCCGTATAAATGCACTGTGAGTATAATGTTGTAAAGCATTCCCACTGTGTAATTTAGCATCCTTGAAGTTGAATTCAATTGAAAACTGTCATTCAGTTTGTCATATTTTAGTGACATGAGTTAACACTAAGCCATCTTCCTCTTTTACTCTCTATTCCCTCACCAATTTGCTCATCGACTATCACTCTAATCCTAGATTGAGTATAACCGCCAGAAGATGGATGTGGATGCTAGGCAGCTGAAGGTGTTCGTCACTGGACTAAGACCTAACACCACCTATGAGTTTACAGTGATCTGTCAAGAAAGCATAAATGGTGGGCAAAGACATCGGGTAATAGCCAGGACAGCGCCGCTCATGCTGACCAGGAAACCCAAGTTGGACATCTACAGTAACTCGGATACCGCGCTCACCATGTCCTTTCCATCATTTGACAGCAAGGATGTCAAGTGAGTTTTGAGGGCTAAAAGCATCTGCGAGCTCTGTCTGAATTGTCTTGAAGGGTTAGGGGTTGCTGTCTTCCTTCTCTCTCCCCAACCGGTTGCAGCAGATGGCCCCGCCCCTTCCTGAGCCTGGTTCTGCCGGCGGTTTCTTCCTGCTAAAAGGGAGTTTTTCCTTCCCACTGTCGCCAAAGTGCTTGCTCGTATGATTGTTGGGTTTTTCTCTGTACGCATTATTGTAGGGTCTACCTTACAATATAAAGCGCCTTGACACGACACAACACAACTGTTGTTGTGATTTGGCACTGTATAAATAAAATTGAATTGAATTAATTGAAAAAGTTTAAATGTTGACATACTTAAAATCTGACGTGACATCTGTTGAGATCACTAGGTAATGAGTATGTGACGTGGACTGCTGGTAATTGCTAGGCCCTTTGAGAGAACCGAATTGTCACGTCAATTTAGTGTTGAGTGTGAGGCTATTTTTGATGTAAATTCTGTTACAATCTTAAAGGATTGCTTATTAAAATCAAATCTTTATTGTGCTTTCATGCTGTGTTCACAGGAACTTCTATGTAGTAGTGGTGCCGCTTAAGAAGACCCCAGGAACTGTTAAAGACTTGAAAAACCCTGATGAGATAGACATAGAAGAGGTAGCGCACACAATAAGCTTTCAAGTTGTTTTTTTGTTTGTTTGTTTGTCATTTTGGCTCTGTACACCACCACAGTGGATTGTACAACCAGCCAACATATGATTAAACTGGAGACTTTCAGCTATAATTGAAGGGATTTAACAACAATGTGTCTATTTACGAATTAAAGGCATATATACACATTTTTCCTCATTTTTAGAGGCTCAAACGTAAATGGACTGACAAGCAGTTTAATGGGCTGGTCAGATTTTTACATTCTTATTCCAAGAAAGATTAAGCAAATACGAGATCTGCAGTCGATTCCAAGTGTTAAACTTGGATTTGGTGGCTTCTCACTGTTAAAGCTGAAAGTCATTTCAGTTACTTCTTGACTACCTGATTTTAAATAAACTGTGATGACATACAGAGGCAAAATTGCAAAAATTGCATCATTATACATAAATAGTAGTTTGCATGTTCTGTCCACATTGTGCACATCATGTACCCATGTAGGCAAGGCACACAGAACACAGACATAAGTGAATCTCAGCTATGCTAATTCGTCCCCCCCCCCCAAAAGCATGCAGAAGAGAGAATTACACAGTCTTCTCCTACTCATAACCATAGCTCGAGGTCACCTTGAGCACCAGATCAACAGCAGCCATCCCTATTGGATTTGGGATTACACACATTCCCTCTGCTTAGGGCCCGCCTCTGTCTGCAGTCTAAACTGAATGAGAGAGGATTGATGTAGGGGAAAGGGTTGCATGGTTGCATGGAGCATTGCCAGAAATGTTGAAGCTTTTAGAATCTTAAGTGTGCAGTTACACCTACAAATTATTTTCTTTGATCTCAGGAAGAGTTCAAGACCTTCTACAAAACAGCTACTTATTCAAGAGACCTACTGCTTATGTATTTGAAAATTTGTACTGCTGCCATATTACAGTTTCTTATTTCCAGTTTATTGAATTGATGTCATTTTTTGTGCTTAAATAATAGCTCTTGTTTTGTTTAAATTTGTATTTAAAAAACATTAACATTATAAACACTTTCTGCTCTCAGAAACTCTCATTAGGTCTGACTTGAATGTTCTCTATATTTAGTCTTTGATCTGCCAAAATTTTAAAAATACACTCACGCTCTCACACATAAAGAAGTACAATAAAACCTTTTTACGTCAATCAGCTGTTGAGGGAGGTGAATCCAAAGCGCCGTTCACGCCGTCAGCTGGACCAGAAGAAGCCCTACATCATAGCCTGCTTCAGGCAACTGCCCGCTAGCTTCACAGTAGGATCTGAAAACCGCCACAGTAACTGTGAGAACAAGCCTCTCGAACCTGGCCAGGAGTATGTCTTCTTCCTGCTGGTTGAACTCAATGCCACTAGCGGGGTAAGACAGTTCAGTTGAATTTTTTTTGTCAGAGTGGATTTAATTATGCGGTTTTCTTCAGTTAATAGTGGATCTCTGAATGCTGATTTATCTAAACCTAACACATTTATGCTTCTTGTGGTATTCAATTCAGTTTGTTCAATTTGTATCTTTGGGTTTTATGCACTGTGCTAATTTTTGCAAAAAATTGTTTCTGTTCAGAAAATGTTTGCAGCAAGCCCATATACCGACACGGTGGTGACTCCTGAGCTGGTCGTGGACCCTTTGCCAGTAGACGCTGGAGATGGTCTCATATGGGTGTTGGGCCCCGTCCTAATCACAGCTCACCGTTACACTCACTTTCCTACCCAGAGGAACGTTGCAGGGGAAGAACAGCTTTTTTTTCTTTTTTTAAAA